ACAGCTTGACAAGTAACACTTGTAAAATATCTGCCCAAGTACAACATACACCAAAACAGTATTTCTGAAAATATATTTGAGTAGTGTTACTCACCATGGAACTGAACAATTTTCCTTTTCAAAACAACGGCCTTGCAGTTAAAACTAAAATCTGTTCCTTTTTTTCTCCTGAAAAATTTCTAAACAAGTTTTTGGTTTTGGGGGGTTTTTTACTTTATTTGTTTTTTAAGTCAGGGTCTTGCTACATAGTTCTGGCTAGCCTTGAACTCGTTATGCAGCCCAGGGTAGCCTCTAACTCAAGACAATCCTCCTGCCTCAGCCTCCTGAGGGCTGGGATTACAGGCGTGCCCTATCGTCCCCAGTAGTAAACAAGTTTTTAAAAATGTTGATTCTTGGGCCAGGGATATAGCTCAGCGGCACAAGTGCCTGCCTAGCAAAAGCAAGGTCCTGAGTTTGATTCCCAGTACCAAAAAAAAGAAAGTTGATTCAGAAAGTACCATATAGGCATAAGACTAGAGGAACGAAAAGTATTTAATGTACAGTAACATTAAACGTACATTTGACATAGAACATAAACCATGAAAATTTTCCTCTGAAAACGCACCTCCACAACTGTAAAAATACATATAGAGAAGTTTACTGGGTACACTTTACTCATGAATGCTCAAAAAATTGGGTAGAATGAGTGCTGGGGATGAGATAATTCTCTTGTGAAGTATCAACCTACGTGTTACTTTTTTATGTGAAAAAAAAAAAAAAAATAGAGTACAAGCCAGACACCCTGGTGCATGCTTGTAATCCCAGCTACTCAGTGAGAAAGGAGGACAGCAAATTTAAAGCCAGATGGGGCTACTTAGTAAGACCTTGTCTCACAAATTTTTTAAGGGGTAGGGATGTGGCTTAGTGATACAACCTTTGCCTAGCATGTGCAACACCCTGGGTTCCATCTCCAATACCATTAAAAAAGAAAAAGAAAAAGAAAACGCTGTGATAAATAACGCCTAGAATATATACCAAAATTATGAAGTATCATTCATGGAAGAACATATAAATGAGTGCCTTCCTAATAATATACAATTGGAACTACATATTACCTACAAACTACTCTGTAAATAGTCTAAGCCTACTGATTAGGTATTGAAATGTCACACAGATTTATCAGAAGGCCACCAGAGTTCACAGCTGTCCATGACAAATACAGAGTGGGATAATTGAAGACTATGGCTCAAAAACAAGTACAATCTAGAAACCTTGAATGGATCTTAGATACAAAAGCAACCAAAACCTACTTTTGATACAATGTGGAGAATTTTGTATTTTTTAGAGTAGGCATTGCATTGTTACTATTTTAAACTTTCTTCTTTTCCCTTTCTCTCCCTCCCTCCCTCCCCCTCCTTACCCAGTGCTCTCTGTCTGTCTCTTAATTTGCTAACACAGGTTCTCACTATGTAGTCAGGATAACCTGAAACTCAGTGATCCTCCGGCTCCAGTTTCCCCAGCCCTAGGATTACAGATATGTACCAGCACACTTAGATTTGTTTTTTAATTTTCTTGATTGAAATATATTGTTTTTAGTAAGACAATGTTACCTTTAGGACACGCATTACTAAAGCACCAAAGGCCGAGTATCACGTCTACCACTTACTTTCAACTTACTTATTAACAAATAATTCATACTACCACAAATTTATTTGGCAGAAGGCAAACACACATTACATATACGTGAAGTTATCACAATAGGTATTAGATGTTTTCCCAGTATGTTTAAGATTTTTCAAGAGAAGTGTGCGGAAAAGTACACTTAACGTAACAATAGTGTTAAGGGTATGAACATCTATGATTATAGCACTACAATAATAAGGCCTCCATTCTTTCTCGCTGAGGTCTGCTTTTAAGCGCTATGAAAATGTATTGATGGAAAAAAAAAAAAGAACAGCTGAGAGGCCATATTTTTCTTTGATATTCTGGTCTACAAGTTTACAGTCACGGGCCAGGGATATAGCTCAGTGGCACAAGCGCCTGCCTGGCAAGCGTGAGGTCGTGAGTTCGATTCTCAGTACAAAAAAAAAAAAATCTATAGTCACATACAGAAAAATGTACATTCTATACGTTCAAGAAAGGGCTGGGGATTTAGCTCAGCGGCACAGCGCCTGCCTGGCAAGCGCGAGGTCATGAGTTCCATTCCCGGTACCGAAAAAAACAAACTATAGTCACATACAGAAAAATGTACATTCTATACGTTCAAGAAAGGGCTGGGGATTTAGCTCAGCGGCACAACGCCTGCCTGGCAAGCGCGAGGTCGTGAGTTCCATTCCTGGTACCGGAAAAAAAAAAAAACCAAAAAAAGTCTTTTTCTGTTTTTATTTTTTGTTTGTCTGTTTTCTTTTTGAGACAGGGTCTCACTATGTAGTTCAGACTGGCCTGGAACTCACTATGCAGCCCAAGCTGGCCTCAAACTCGCAGCGATCCTCCAGCCTCAGCCTCCCGGGGGCTAGGCTAACAGGCACGCACCACCACGCCCGGGTGAAAATTTCTTTTTCTGTCTAAAACGGTCAATATAAAATAGGATCTAACAGGACAAAGCCAAAATCTCACGTGAAACATTCGTTTCTTTAAAAACAAAGAAGAGGGTCAATTTATTTAAGACAAGGTCTCTCTAGGTTGCCCAGGCTCGAGTGCTATTTCCGACCCGCCTGCCTCAGCCTCCCGGGGCGCTAGGTTTCCAGGCTTGAAGAGCGGAAAGATCGGGCGCGCCCCCAGCCCCAGCCGAGCGCACCCCAAGCCCCGCTCCTCCCCGCACCGACGCCCGCGGCCTCCCAGCCGCCCGCGCTGACAGGACCCGCCGCCTCGCGAACCCGGCCCCGCGCGCCAGGCCGCTCCCCGGAGGCGCCTCGGCGCCCCGGGCCAAACCCGCCCTTCCACATCCCCTCTGCCCCCAGGCAGTCCCCAGGCCGCGGAACTCACAAAAGCCGGAGTGGCCCGCACGACTCGGAAGGTAACAAGTCTCTCAGGCTCGCCGAGGCAGGGCCGGAAGAGCGCGCCGGCCGCCGACGTCACTTCCGGCCGGGGCTCGGCCGGCGAGGGGCGGGGCGGGCCGGGGGCTCGGCGAGCTGCGCTGCGGCGCTCGGAGCCCCTGGCAGGAGTCCCAGCTTCCTCCCGCGGGAGTGCGGCGGAGTCCTGCCACCGGCTCGCAGCGGGGTCAGGTGGTCGAAGAAGGGGCAGAGGCCAGAACGGAGGTTGGCGGGGCTCCGGGCGGGTCGTAGTCCAGGCGTGGGGGCCGGCTTAGAGGCGGGATCAGGCCTGTGGCAAGGTTTCCACTGAAGGCTCAGCCTGGGGCCTCACCCACAGGATACTCATCCAAAAACACTTTTTTGGTGCTTTGAGGCAAGATCTCGGTATGTGCTTTAGGCTGGCGTACAGCTCACTGCGTAGCCCAGGCTGGCCTCGAACTCGCACCTGCTCAGCCCAGCCCGCCCCCAAGTGCTGGGATGACAGGTGTGCTCCACCACGCTAGGCTTTGTGCAGAATTTTTCAACTCACTTCCTAGACCGCGTATTTTGGCCACCTACAGAACTGAGTAAAGAGTGTATGAGTCGCCCCAAAAATGAACGCTCTGGGTCTCTGGATGGTATCGAAATCACTACTTTCAATTGTTACAATCTTTCTGAATGTTTCCAACACTTCCCCTGCCTCCCTCTGCTCTTCCTTCCAGGTTGAAAAGCTGATGGGAGGAATCTGAGAGACTGAAATATTTTAACTGTGCTTTGGAGAATCACTGAAAAATCCTAACTCCCGCTGTTTGGTGGGAGTTAGGATTCACTTATTAGCAGCCCACTTGCTAGTAGATGAATCCCCTTGGCAACGAAAAGGTTAAAGCCCTTAACAGCAGAACTCTGATTAAAGCCGCTGCTTTAACGTTCTCCAGAGCAAGCTGTCAACTTCACGAGATAAGTACAGAGCTCCACTCATTCTTCCCAGTGGGTTCTGACCCATCTTCTCTAAAAGATAAGACACGCAGACCTCTTGATCTAAAGCTACAAGGCCCTTTGTAAGCCCAAGGAAATGGTCTTGTCAAACTTTATTTTTGTGTGTATTTTTCTGGCAACTTTAAACATACAATTTTAAACACAGTGTATGTGCTCCTGAAAGATCTATAGGGCTCTAGATGAGCTCAGAGACATTCTTTAGATACTCACGTTTGCTTCCACACCTTCTTCCTGACAGCCCCTCTCTTGGGGACACACACTGTCCCCCTTGACAGTGTCCTTGGGAAACACTCATCTTTACTTTTTTTTTTTTTTTTTTTTTTGGTACCGGGAATCGGACTCAGGACCTTGCGCTTGCCAAGCAGGCCCTGTGCTGCTGAGCTAAACCCCCAGCCCGTGCCTTTACGCTTATCCTTGCCTCGGTAAGCTCTTTTTACTGTTGCGCGGGGCAGTTTGGTAGCCAGTGAAGGGAAACTTGCATTTCTTGGCCTCTCTTCCCTCCGGTCTTTGTGCGTGGTTGGCATGCTGTAGGCAACTGAAGGGCCCTGGTCAGGGTGACTCCCTGGTGGGACCCGAAGGCCTCTGGGCTGTGACCCCACCACTGTGCACCGTCATCAGTGTTATAAGCTGGAGGATTGCGTTCAGCCCCTTGCAGAACGCTTTACTTTGCTTCTTTAACTAAGGGACTCTGGTTGGGGCCATTGTCCGGTGGGACCTGAAAGCAGCAGAAAGAGGAGGATGCCAGTCATAGTCCGTGAGGGTGAGAGGACACTTTTCTTCCCTTAGAACCTCCTTTGCTCTCAGCCCACAGCACTTGGCAGCAGAAGCTCACCCTGGTGAGTCAGTGTATACTGTAAGGACTCCTTCCTTGCTCTTTCCCTGGCTCTGCTGATCCTTTGCTGCTGCTGGCTGCTGGCTTCACCCACTCTCAGCTGAACTTCCTGACTCAGAAGACTCCTGAGTAACCCAGTTTTCCATCTCCCCAGGATGGCGATCTCCCCTTCCCTAGTCAGCACGGAAGAAATCAGCACACAAGGTCAGTTCAGGCAACGTTCGGCTGCGGGAACCACCGGTGACTCCAAAGGGAAATCAGGTTTCGCTGTTGGAGTGGAAGCCTCTCTTTTCCCAGGGGATGCCCGAGATTAGAGACCTATTGATGGCTTTTGAGATCTTTCATCCTTAAGGTACTCGTGGGCAGATGCTGCTTCTCCTGTAAAGTGGTGGGTCTCACGTCCTCTTTCCTTCTGAGCCGCCCTTGGGATGTATTCTTGAAAGTCGGTTCAAATTTGACACTTGAGCTCTCAGAAAGAAACACTTCCTTTTCCTGTGCAACACTGCCTGGCCTAAATATAAATTCCTAGGTTAGGAACTTTTGTCCCTTAATGGCATCCCGAATTACAACACCCTCCTACCATTAGATCTTTTCTGCAGTTGGAAAGGACGCTGAATTTCCTTGCATTTGGGCCTTCCTGGCCTTGTCCCAGGATCCCCGGCTGCAGGAGTGCTGGGTGTATGCCTAACACAGTCCACCTTTCGTGCTCCAACTTCTGAAACTGATGTCTGTAATGATCCTTTTATTGGTTTTTCTCTGACCCCAACTTCCTTCTGTCACTCCCCCTCTGTGCCCCAAAGCCCTTCCCTCTTTCTGACTCTTACTGTTGCAACTCTATGACGATAAAATAATAAAAGCACTACAAGGTATCTCTGTCCTGACTCACCTAAAAGTAAAAGGTACTAATTGGTACCTCCTAGGAAGCATTCTGACTAGTCTATAGTTATAAACCTAAAACTAAGAGAAAAAGGATTATTATAATCCAAAATGGCCAGTACATGTAAAAGTGCATTTTGAGCCAGGCCTGGTGGCACACCCCTGTAATTCCAGCACACAGGAGACTGAGGCAGGAGGGTTATTTCCAGTTCAAGGCCAGCCTGGGCTGCATAGTGAGTTCAAGGCCACCCTGAAGTATATAGTGAGACCCCATCTCTAAAAAAATAAATAACTTTGACTTTGTGAAATGTCTTATGTGTTTTTCTGCCTATTAATCTGTGTTTATAATTGGGTTTAAAAAGGGAAAAAAAAATCTTTCCCCATGGGCCCCCTGGGCTTGTGAATAAGCCACCTCTGCATAAATAAGCCTCTGCTGCATAAAGCCCCCTCCATGGCTGAAAAGGCAGCTACCTAAACCAGTTCACTCCAGTTTTTCCCATACTTTTATTATAGCCCACCCCAACCTCAGGATTAGAAAAAACTGTTGTTTGGTAATGACCAATATGATTTAAACCAAAAGATCCTTATAAGTGGGCATGATGGTACACGCCTGTAATCCGAGCACCTGGGAGGCTGAGGCAGGAGGATCACCATGAGTTCAAGGCCAGCCTGTCTCCAAAACAGATCCATATAAGACCACGGTGTGCAGGAAGTGAGCCCTCCTCACCACAGCAGCAACAGAGATTAAACTCCAAACTCAAGGTCTCGACAAGCAAATACGGGCAGGGGGAGGGGGGGAGCCTGTTAAAAGTGCCCACGCAAGAGATAAACACTGCCAAAAAGATAAAGACAGGAGAGGAAGGCCTGGACCTCAGACTGGCTCAAACTGGACCTTAAACCCAAACTGAATGGGGAATAGTAGGTCAGGCTGTAAAACTGGGTAGCAGGTGAAAAAGTGTCACCTGCAGCTGCGTGGAGGCCTGGCAAAGGACAAAGCTGGGTGAACCCCAGTTCACTCCTGTTTCCAGATGCTGGAGTGGGGGGAGGGGAGAGACAAACCTTCCTAACAGCCCATGAGAGTCACCAAGAACCCAGTCGGAAGCAGCTTGGCTAATTGTCCAATCTGTGGTTTCAGTTGATATCTTCAACTAATTAACCATGCCTAAGATACTTTTTGAAAACAACATGAGGGTCATTCTTACACTGCACCTACAGGGTTAATTTACCCTTCTGGGCTTTCTGCTTGTACAAAGATAATTTTGTTGTTGAAGGTCATGTAAACTTAAAGGTTTGTCAGCCCTAGCTAAAATGTAACAACTTTGCTCTTCTTTGTACTCCTTACCCTGTCTTGGAGATTGAATTCAGGGCCTTTGTACTGAGCTACATCCAAAGCTCTTGTTTGAGACAGGGGCTTGTAAAACTACCCAGGCTGAGCTCCAAGTTGTGATCCTCCTGCCTCAGCCTCCCATAGTGCTGGGATTACAAGTGTGCTTCTTTCTATTTTCTGCCAATACTAAAATAAATTGATCATTTGAAATTCTATGATTAAGCAGTTCTAACGAATATAAATATCTGTAAGTTGGGACCAAAAAAACCACAAATGTATCAAAGACATTTTAAAATACAAGTGTCCTCCAGGCTTGTGATGGAATATAATGGGTAATAAGAAAAGAAAAATGTAAAAAAGTGTAAGTATGGGGATATCTTTAGTAAGAAAGGAAAAAAGAGAGGAAAAATGCTTTTAGTTTTTTGGGTTTGTTTATTTGTTTGTTTGTTTTTGACAGGGTGTCACTGTGTAGTTCAGACTGGCCTTGAATGCACTATGTAGCCCAGGCTGGTCTTGAACTCACAGCAATCTTCCTGCCAGCCTTCCGAGTGCTGGGATTACAGGGATGTGCCACCGTGCCCAGTGGAAGCGTGTTTCTTAGATGAAAAAATTGTGTTTAAAGTGAAGAGGTCCTAAAAAAAAAAAAAAAGGTGAAGAGGTTCTCTTATAATATTGATCCACTCTTAGTAAAGTTTACTGAGATTGGCCTAAGAAATAAAGTTTTTGTAATTTATCGAGATAACTTCTTCTGTTTCTATTGTCAGGTTTTTTATTACCTAGGAAACTGAGCCTTAATAGGTTTAGCGTTTGTTTAAGTATTGGTTTATTGTAAAGTCTTTTAAATGATCAGCTTATAATTTCAGTTAAGTAAACGACTGTTATTTTAGGTTATTGTAATATATTTGACACTATCTCTGGAACTAGAGATATGTACACACCTAAGAATTAAATATGCTGTCTGGAAGTACAGAGTTTATAAATCTAGAGATATATGAGTCTAATATACACACAATGATTGTTAAGTGCTCTTTTTTTTTTCAGTATACATTCCATCTGAACTCTAAATGCATAAATGGTCAGTAAACATTTTGGCATTCCTGCTGCTTGGCGGTTTTTTGTGGCTGCTTTTATTGTTGTTGGTACCAGGAAATTGAACTCAGGACCTTGTGCTTGCCAGGCAGGTGCTGTGCCACTGAGCTACATCCCCAACCCCTGTTTGGAGTTTTTTTTTTTAGGCAAGGTCTTGCTATATAATCTGGGGTGGTCTTGAACTACTATGTAGCCCAGCCTGGCCTCAGACTTACAGCAATCCTTCTGCCCCAGCCTCCTGAGTGCTGGGATTACAGGCATGCACCATCATGCACTGCTTCTGCTGTTTATATACCGTATCGTTCAGATGGGGAAAAATATGCCATTTCACAGTCCTGCCATTTAAAATCTGATCTGCATTTGTTGGCTTTAATTAAACAAGCATTTTTTGGTTACTGCATAAATGAGATATATTTATGTATTAGGTAGTAGTTGTGGTCATTAACACAGTTTCCTAAATTTATGAGATCTAAAGCAATCCTTTGAGTCCTGTCAGTGCTGTTAACCTATGTAAGATCTAGTAAAAGATTTCTGAATTTCACCTCAAAAGTACAAAACTAAGGTGACAAAGAACCTCTATGAAATTGTAACACTACTGACTTCGTTACATGTTAAATAAATTTATGTTTCCCAAATATATAAGCCTTCTAAAGTACAGAGTTTAAAAAAGGATTTCTTGCCATATTGGTGCCCCCCCAACCCAAATTGTTTATAATGATAGACTATTTGAGGTCTCTGTTTATATGTTCTTAATTGTATTATGGTAATTATATGTACCTAAACACTGTACATTACAAAAAGTGCAGTTCTAATAAAAGAATTGGATGTTATTTACCTAAAGAAGATCTCTGTAAACAAAACAGTGCCTATGGGTTCTGATATAATAGCAGTCACAATTGTCATCTTAAAATCCTATATAAGATAAATAACTAGATGATCTTGTGAATCACTAAACTAATCAGAATTCCAAGAGTGGCTTTTATCATCTACAGTGCTGATTCCTCTCTAAAACGTTTATAATCAGATTCATAAAAAGGATTCTTGGGCGTGGGGATTTAGCTCAGTGGCAAAAGCGCCTGCCCGGCAAGTGCAAGGTCGTGAGTTTGATTCCTGGTACCGGAAAAAAACAAACAAACAAAAAGAAAGAAAGAAAAGGATTCTTAACAAGTTATTATGGTTTATATCTAGATGTTTCCCCTAGAACCTCATACCCTTTATAGGAGGGACTTTTGGAAGGTGATTGGATGATAGGGTTTACAGCTGTTAGGAGGTGGGATCTGGTTGGAAGAGGAGGTCACTGGGGGCGGAGTCTGGAAGGTTTTATCTCTGTTCACTTCCTCAGCTTCCGGGACTCCAGGTTGGGAGCGCCTCTCCTCTGCTGCGCTCCTGTACCATGCCTA